ATTTGGCTGTCATCATCGCTTTTATCATTATGTCCTTATGGATTCGGTGGTTATTACTTCAATCACGTATATCAGGCATGTTTCTTTGACAGCAAAAGTAACATTCGATATATTTCCTTTACCGTGCTTTTTCCTTACATCGTTGCATCGTTTTCAGTAATAAGTTGGTGTAATATAAGTATAGTTCGCAAGGTTCGCCGAAGCAGAGTAAATGCTCAGCTAACACTATCTGAAGTCGCAGTCAAAAAAGAACAAAAACTTACTCGCACAATCTTTTTTATTATTGTTTTATATGCCTTTAGTTGGGTTCCACTTATAACTATACATATTGTTAACGCATTTAAACCTCAACCTGATGTTGTAATACGATTTGGTTATTACTTCACTGTATGTAGCTCTGTTGGAAATCCTTTCTTATATGGTTATACTAACAAAAAGATTAGAAATTTGTGTATTAAATACCTATACTGTCTGAATTCGAACACACTTGAAAATGTTTTGAATTTATAATGAATTGATAATGATCTTGTGAAAACAACGAGAATATCAACTATGCAAAAGGCATCTACAAAGCCATGTAAACTCTTAATAGGCGTAGGCCTATTGATCGATATTTTAATTAGAATAATTAGGAAAATGTGTTGTATAACGTGTAATGCTGTAGTTAACAAATCATCCTATTATAAAATAAATGTCTACAACATGTTTTCGACAAAATGTAACTGATTTTCATTAATATATATATATATATATATATATTAATATACATATATATATATATATATATGTATAGGCCTATATATAGGCCTATATATATATAGTATTAGCCTATATATATATAAAACACGTGAAAAGAAATTCTAAATCGTCTTGCGATGATTCAAGAGAAATCTTCGAAATGCGAAAACAAATTGCCCCAATCAGGATTCTACTCGGAACCTGTTACTTTCTGTGGAATATGCAGACTCCTAAGCCTACTGCTGGGCCATTGAGGCTTTCTTTAGGATTTGAAAATCCGATGGGAGGCAATTCATTTCGCACTCTACGATATGCCAAATACAACACTAGTATTTGATAGTATTTGAAGCACACATGTTAAACAGAGATCAATGTGATACGTCCTCTTCTTCAGATGTTGCTTGTATGGTTGAAGAAGTAATCCGCCATTTATAGTTGTACAGTATGAAACCACATCCCTAGTATTTTACACTATTTTCCGAATGTTCAGCCATGAAATAACTAGAAAAAAAATAATCTGTCGTTTCAGTGATTTTGCGAACTATAACACGGCCGGATGTATTATTGCACGCTTCTGAACTCGTCATCTGTCGTTCAGTGAAGTAAATTTAGGCTTTAATAAAATGTTTGGTGATACTAGCTATTTTACGAGATGGAAATTGTAGAAGTCGTCTCGATGATGTTCGTTACGGTACTTTCTATATTTTGTATGATGTTAAACTTTGTTATTGTTCTTGTCATCGCGTTGAATAAACGTTTTCGAAACTCCTACTATGCTTACTTGTTGAACTTAGCGATAGCTGATTGTATGAAGTTCTGTGTATTTCTGATTGGAATTCTCTGCATCTTGTTTGAATTGAAACCTACATCAGGAAGTATAGTATGCGATATTATGGGCATTACATTCTGTGCGTGTTCACTTGTTGTGATACAAGCATTGGCGATACTCTCTTATGTTCGCTATCGTAAAATAGTTAAGAATACGGACTGGTCATTGAATAAAAAACGTTTTAGTATAATTTGGATTTGGCTGTCATCAGCGCTTTTCTCATTATGTCCTTACGGATTCGGTGGTTATTACTTCAATCACGTATATCAGGCATGTTTCTATGACATCAAAAGTAACATTCGATATATTTCCTTTACCGTGCTTTTTCCTTACATCGTTGCATCGATTTTAGTAATAAGTTGGTGTAATATAAGTATAGCTCGCAAGGTTCGCCAAAGCAGAGTAAATGTTCAGCTAACACTATCTGAAGTCGTAGTCAAGAAAGAACAAATACTTACTCGCACAATCTTTCTTATTATTGTTTTATATGCCTTTTGTTGGGTTCCTGTGGTAATAATAGGTATTACTAACTCATTTAAACCTCAACATGATATTGTAATACGATTCAGTTACTACTTAGCTGTAGGTAGCTCTGTGGGAAATCCTTTCTTTTATGGTTATACCAACAAAAAGATTAGAAATTTGTGTATTAAATACGTATACTGTCTGTTTGAACCTGAACGCAATTGAAATATTTACAATGAATTGTAAATTATAAGTCGTCAGCTTGAGAAGGCATAATATCTTAATAAATTTAGTTGCATAACGTTGAGGTGTTATGATTAAAGCACAAACGTTTTATATAATAATGTAATCATGCTTTCACGAATGTAGGCCTGTATACAGTGGCGTATCTAGTGAAGGGCGCACTCCCTTACCTAAGATTATATTGACACTGGTTTCAAATCACGGTCAAGTAGTTTAAAATCACCTTATTTTGCGAATTAGCGCCCCTCAACTGATCATCGCCCCCCCCCCCCCCTTTTCATTTCAAGACTTCTAGATACTCCACTGCCTGTATACACAAATGACGGGATTCAAACTTGCGACCTAGCCTCATGTATATATAGATCTTGTTATAATAGAGATAAACCGTCTTGTGATAATGCTATTAAAATATATGAATCTATTTTGAATGTTAAGGAAGAGGAATCTGTGTGCGAACAAAATGTAGATACAATTTTGATTATAGTCATGAAAGTACTGAACTCTCTCCTCATTCGCATCAGTATAAATATAATGATGATAATGATAATAGTGGCAACGACAACTTTTATTATAATTGTAATAATTATGATCATGACGATGATAATAGTGATTATTGTAATGATGATGATAATAATAAACAATTTAAAAAAAAATATTTTAACAGTGGCCATAATAGTGTATAGCTTTAATTTTAAGGATATCGATTTTGTAAACTGATTCTATAAACTTATTTATATAGCACCACAATAATATAACAAAAACAATGTTTGCTATAACATCGCATTGTCGTGGATATTTTTCCAAGAACTTCAGTTTCTTTCCATGTGAAATAAGTTGAATACAATTTTAACAACGTTTTAAGCTGTCTCTTATACACATCTTGTTTGAACCTGAACGCAATTGAAAAGTTTTGAATTTACAATGAATGTAAATTATAAGTCATCAGCTTGAGAAGGCATAGTATCTTAATCAATTTAGTTTCATAACGTTGAGATGTTACGATTAAAGCACAAACGTTTTAAGGCCTATAATGTGGCGTATCGAGGGAAGGGCGCACACCCCCCCAGGGGCCCCAAAAAATCACGGTCAAGTAGTTAAAAATCACCTAAAATTGATCATCGAGCGCCC